CAGATGTTTGTGTGTGAGATCCGTGTATTGGAAAAGATGATTTCAAGCTAAGGTGTGGACTTTGGGATCTCATATACAGGAAAAGAACACAATTATAACTGTGAAAATGAATGCAAGAATCGAAAACGATAGGTAACAGCCAAACAGATTGCAACATGGGTTTTCCCATGTAAATTGGGTGACCCATTATTTTACTGGGTGATCCATTATTTAACTCATTCCACAATGTGTTGGGTTATTAATATTATTTTTCCTATATCAGTATATCTAACAACGGCATTGAGGGCATTTTAATTGATTGATTAAAAAAAACCAAGAAACAATATTTCATTCAAAAAAGGGTAAGAACAAAGGAGGCCCTTTTCTATTTACAAAACCTTCAGAGAAGTAGGTAAAATTAACCAACCACATAATGTCAATATATAACAATATCAGCCTCCTTTTGCTAAAAACCAATTAACAGACTTCAATTTGTGAATATAGATAACACACTTTGCGCATATTTAAATAATGGTTTCGAGAAATTTATTTCAAAATCCAAGAAAAAGGGTCTGTCAAAGAAAAAAAAAGGTGCTAACTGTTAGGGAAAATATATAATTTTTCACAAGTAAATCAAGCAATGGGAATAAAAATTAATGCGAAAAAATTAAATCAATAACGACACAAGAATTTTACGTGGTTCCCTCAATGTGAGATACGTCCATGGGATCGAAATCCGATTCCACTATCAACCAAAGAGTTTCCAAACGATTACAAACGAGACACAAATGGTCTCACAAACCACCCTTAAGTGAATTCTAAATAATCACAAATAAACAAGAGGAAATACCTCACCAAATAGACGAATAAATTATCTTCGAAATAGAGTTGTAGAAGACCCAAAATAATATACCCAAATCAACACCGAACACCGAACCAGACGCTTCAAAGCAGAGTAGCAACGAAGGCACAAATTCTTGAATTTGACCAAGTCAAATACATAGCAACAATCAACACCAATTGAAACGCACCAAATTGAGTTATACACCAATCATTCTCATCGAAAAGAATTTGCTACTACAGCTCCCCTCCGAGAAAAAAACAAAGATAATATTTATATATATTGTTAAATTTAGGATTTTTTTTTTTTATCAAAACTCTAGCTGTTACCAAACTGATTATAAAATACCCATTGGGCCTCCAAAAGGTAGGTAGAATATATTAAAAATATATTATAACCAACACCAAACCAAACTAAATATTTTAATAAACCAATCGGGTCCCATACTCCAATAAGGAGGTATACCCAACAATTCTCCTCTTATCGACTTAGGTGAAGACATCAACCATATGCGCTAAAGTTCGACACTTCAAATGTTTGTCTCTCGACAAAGTCTTAGTCAACATATTCGAAATATTATCATCCGTGTGAACCTTTTCGAGTTGCAACAATTTTGAGTCTAACACATCACGAATCCAATGGTATCTCACATCAATGTGTTTCGATCTCACATGAAAAGTGAAATTTTACTCAAATGAATAGCACTTTGACTATCATAATAAAACACATACCTCTCTTGCTTCAAACCTAACTCTTGCAAAAATTTCTTCAACCATAACTCTTCTTTGCAAGCTTCCGTAATGGCAATAAATTTAGCTTTAGTAGTTGAGAAAGTAATACATTTTTGTAATTTAAATTGTCATGCCATAGCTCTCCCTGTAAATGCCATCAAATACCCCGAAGTAGATTTTCTAGAATCAACATCTCCGGCCATGCCAAAATCCGTGAACCCATCAAGCATCGGCTTACCATCTCCAAAACACAAACATCTTCGAAGTCCCTTGAAGATACCTTAGAATCCATTTAACCGCTGCCCAATATTCTTTACCCGGATTAGAGAGAAAACGACTCACCACACCAACTGCGTGAGCAATATCCGGCCTTGTACAACCCATGGCGTACATCAAAGAACCAACCGCTGAAGCATAAGGAATTTTTTGCATCTCTTTCTTGTCTTTCTCACTTGTAGGACATTGATTCAAACTAAGCTTGAAGTGACCCGTAAGTGGACAACCAACCGGCTTTGCCTTATCCATGTTGAACCTCTCAAGAACTTTCTCAATGTAGCTTTCTTGAGACAACCAAATCAGTCCGTCTTTGCGATGACGAATAATTTTCATACCAAGTATTTGCTTTACTGGTCCCAAATTTTTCATAGCAAAAGACTTGCTCAACTCCAATTTCAACCTGTTAATCATGGTAGAATCTTGACCCACAATTAACATGTCATCAACATAAAGCAAAAGAATAATAAATTTGCCATCCGTGAAATTTTTCACAAACACACAATGATCTGAAGTGATTTTAGAAAAATCATTATTCATCATGAAAGAGTCAAATTTTGTGTACCATTGCCGTGGGACTTGCTTGAGGCCATACAAACTTTTCTTCAATGTGCAAACAAATTTCTCTTTCCCCTTTTCCATAAAACCTTCTGGTTGCTCCATGTAAATTTCTTCTTCAAGGTCACCACGAAGAAAGTGGTCTTCACATCAAGTTGCTCAACTTCAAGGTTCATATTTGCAGCCATGCCAAGTACAACTCGAATAGAAGACATCTTCACAATCGGCTAGAAAATCTCATCAAAATCAATACATTTCTTTTGCCCAAAGCCTTTCACAACAAAACGTGCTTTGTACCTTAGATTCTTACTATCATTCTTTAATTTGAAAACCTACTTATTTTTTAGAATTTTCCTCCTCTTAGGCAACTTCACTAAATCATAAGTGTGATTTTCAAGTAAGGAATTCTTCTCCTCTTCCATAACCTTTTTCCAATCATCTTTCTTTGCATGCTCCATTGTTTCTTGGTAGCTCTTAGGCTCCCCTTAATCGAAAATCAACACAAATTCATTGGGAGGATACTTTCTCGAATGTTACCAGTCTTTTGTAGATTTCCTCAACTCAAGTTGTGGTAGCGATTCTTGAGTTGGATGCTCTTCCTCAATTTTTAGCTCAACTTCATAGGATTAGTATCATCCTCCACATCTTCAATAGATGGCTGCACATCTCCCCTATTTTCATCATCAACTGAAAATGAAGGAGATGGATCCATATCAATGAGATCACTAGTTTTTTGCTCTGGTTGATCACCTTTGCCAAAGTATTCAATTGTTTGGTCTTCAAGAAACACAACATCACGGTTTCAAATGACTTTCTTGTCGACTAAATCCCACAATCTATACCCGAATTCATCACGCCCATAGCCAAAAAAAAATACATTGTCTTGACTTACTATCAAGCTTGGACCTCTCATCCTCTGAAATGTGAACAAAAGCTCGGCAACCAAATACTCTCAAGTACTCATAAGACACATCTTTGTCGGTCCAAACTCTTTTAGGAACATCACCATTCAAAGGATAGGAAAGAGACAAATTGATCACGTCAACCGTTGTCTTCATTGCCTCACCCCAAAAGGATCTTGGCAATTTAGCTTGTGAAAGCAAACACCTTGTTCTTTCCACAATGGTGCGGTTCATCCTTTCGGCAACGCCATTTTGTTAAATAGTCTTCTTAACTGTCTTTTGGTGCCAAATACCTTGGCTGCGACAATACTCATCAAATGGCCCAATGTATATATTCACCACCATTGTCTGATCAGATGCACTTTAATTTCTGCCCTATTCTCTTTCAACCATGGCTTGAAAATGCTTAAATACATCTAGAACTTGATCTTTAGTTTTTAGTATAAAAGCTCAAACTTTCCTTGAATAATCATCAATGAAAGTAACAAAATAAAGTGCACCACTATGTCTTCTAACTTTTAAAGGACCACAAACATCTGAATGAATCAACTCCAAAACATTTTCTTTTCTAAAAACAACATTTTTATGAAAAGAAACTCTATGTTGTTTACACACCAAACAATGAACACAAGTTTTAAGATATATTCCTTTTAAATTAGGCAGAAATTCTTTCTTAAACAAAACTTGTAGCCCTTTTTCACTCATGTACCCAAGCCGCTTGTGCCACAATTCAGTAGAAGTATCATTCTCAAGTGCATTGACAACACCTTTACAAAATTTTCTTTGTATCGAATAAAGTGTATGAGTCTTCATGCACTTAGCCACCACCAAAGAACCCTTTGTGAGCTTCCATAATCCATCACCAAATTTGTTGTTATAGCCTTCATCATCTAACTTCTTGGTAGAGATCAAATTGAGGTGAATGTCAGAACATGCCTCACATCTTTAAATAACAACTTGCAGCCCAAATTTGTTTCCAAGCAAACATCACCCATGCCAATAATCTTGGACAAACCTTTATTACCCATTCAAACAGAACCATAATCTCCTTTTGTGTAGGTAGTAAAGAAATCAACTCGATAAGTCACATGAAAAGAAGCACCGGAATCAATTATCTAATTGCTCTCTTGGCTGACAAAATTGATACAATCATCTTCACAAACAACCATGAGATCATCAGTAGTAACCGCCGTGCACTACAACCAAAAAAAGGTTTTTACGACGCACAATGCTTGCCGTAAAAACTCTTCTACGACGTGCAGCGTGTGTCATATTATGATTAGTCATGAAAATTCATTCATTTTCAATGACATGCTTTGTACGCCGTTAAAAACTATTTAACAGCAAATTTTGCACATCGGTGTTACTTTTTCTACGACATGTTATAGTACGCCGTTAAAAACTATTTAACTACAAATTTTGTGTATCGTTGCTATTTTTTTTACGACTACTTTTGCATGTCGTCAATTGGTGAGACAAATAACGATGCTGATTGTGCATCGTAAAATATGTAATACAACGATTTATTATGTCTGCCGTAGAATATGTAATTTTTTATTTTTGTTTTAAAATTCAGTAAATTCTATTTAACCAATTTTGTACAATCTAACAAATATTACAAACAACCATCACAAAACATCAATCAACCATCAAAATATTATTTAAAACATCAAACGAAACTATATCCATAAATTATAAACATTCAACAATTGTCTATACATTCCAAACACTCGAAAACTATATCCTTAAGTTCTTAAACTGTACAAAAAGTTTAAACCATCCAAAATTATGCATATCTAACTTTCTAAACATATCGACAACTATTAAGAGATTATCTAAAATTACTGACAACAATTCCTATAGCAGTTGCAACAGCATCTGTAGCAAATCCACTTGCTCCTATCACAGAGATGAGGGTGCCCAATGTATGTCACCTAAACCCGCGGCAATAGCTGGAGTAACTAACCCTGTTGCATTTCTTGTCTGCATAACAAAGGAAACTTCACATAAGTACAAAAACCAACGACTCAGGGACAAAAATATTTCTTAAGGTATTAAGAAATGATCAAGAAATTTTAAAACATCAACAAAACATTTCCAAAATTAATAAGATAATTCAATGGCCCTATAAAAGCAATGTCATAATGAAAAATTAGCAAAAATTCAAGATCTCAATAGTCTCAACGTATATTCACACAAAGCAAAACCTTTTTTTTTCATACCTCAAATGAAGTTACCTTTAATGAAGTTACCTCTTTTGTTGCAATGTTTCTAGAGGGAAATGTGTAGGAATCTTCAAACAAATCATTAAGTTTGTACAGGAAAATATAGTTTACTACTAAATCCAAGCCATAAAAAGTTCAAGAGAAAAATTAAATTTAAAAAGAGGAAGAGGTGGAATTAATCTACTTCAATGCAACACCTACTTGGGACTTGCATTATTATGTTAAAGGATCTCTATGTATGAGGTTTAGGTTGGTATAGGTTTTATCCATTACCATTGTACGTTTTAAAATAAAGAGTCCAAGTCAAATTAGAGTTTATATTGTTTACAAGTTTAAAAAGAAATTTTCAATCCATTATAGAAGAAATTTAGGTAAGTTTTAGTAGCTTTAGGCGCTTTTTGGGACAATGTGATGTAATTCTACCTAAGTACTTTGTAACAAATACATAAGATAAGGAACTATAAGAATAATTCCTAAGCTAATCTTTTTCTTCTTCTCTAATTTTTCACAAGTATCTAATTCAATCCCAAGCTATTACTAAAGAATGGGGGCACTTTTATAAAATATGGAATTGAGCTCAAATCAAATTTCAGTGTCTTATTCATTTTAGTTTCAAGTTAACCATCCCATGTGATGATAGTTGTCAGAGAAAACCTTAAATACCCATGTGATGATAATTGTTAGAGAAAACCTTGAACACTAGCCTTTTTTGTAATCACATTAAATTCATCAACTGTTATTTGCTACCAGTCCTTAGAATTCTAGCATAAGCAGCAAGACAAAAGCAAAATACCATGCTCATTTCATAGAAAAATTTCAATCCTTCGGTGAAAGAAAAGACACTTTATACAAAATCAATTGTTTGGTTTCATAATTTTTTCCTTTTTATTGGCATGTAGGGAAGGAGGTGAAGTTGATGTCTGAACTCCTAGACAACCGAAACCCAAGCAAAGAAACTATCATGCAAGTGTTCTTACATGAACAAAAAAAAAAAGAAAAAGAAAAAGCATTCAAAAGGCGTGTGCATAAGTTAGCCAAGAATAAATTATATTAACCATTCCACTTAAAAAGTCAAGCCAAACTGATATTAGTCATGCATGTCAAAAGAAAAAAAATAAACAAGAGAACTCGAAAAACTGATATTAGTCATTTATCATTTATTAAAGTTGCTTGATAGATAAAATTGCTTCTTAAAAAAGTTAGAGAGAGAGAGAGAGAGAGAGAGAGAGAGAGACAATAAAAGGAATGATAGCGCAATTGTTCTTGAAGGCATATAACAAGCATTGGATGCCAATAATGTTTTGTATCACCAAAAGGCCGAACCCAATGATGTATAAGTAATATAATTGGTTAATAATTAGAGAAAATATAAGATAAAGTGTAACATTTAATATCCTAATTAATTGCCACATCATTGAACTTAAAAAGTGAATCTAATTTTTTTGTCTTGAATAGAAATGCTCAAAATTTAAATATAAAATTGTCAATGCATTTGTGTTTGTACCTTAGATATAAATCACATTAATAATTCATTCAACACATGGCACCTGTTGGTCTTTGACATGTAGCCATTTGTAAAAGAGAGAGACTAAGGCCTTGCCCAAGAGCGCAAAGTCATTATCGCCAGAAAGGGTCCAAGTTCGTTTAAGTTTTTCGAAGGTCCAAAGTTGTTTAGGGTTTTTGGAAGGTGAAGGAGTTTCATCATCATTTATCATCATCATCAAATAATAATAACAGGAATTACCATATATCCCAAGATAGAAGTATTTGTTGCCAAAAACTATGCCAATCCTTGCTTCCCATCTTCCATTATGATGATGTCTGCTTATTGACATAAAAATACAATAGTAAAAAGAACAACACATTTGCCATCTTGAATTTGTGATAAGAAAATAGGCAACTTGAGCTATATATGGATTATAATAGTGGCAAAAATGCCAAACTTTAAATTATAAATAAATTAACATTAAATCGACAATCAATCTTTTACTTGCATCTCAAAGTCAATAATTAAAATTTATGTTCATAAAATTTGAAGAAACATTAAAAAGAAACAAGTTGCGTGTTGAATCATATCATGCATTTGATTAGGAGATTTATAGTATTATTGGAAAATAATAGGTTTAGCTTTCTGTTGATAACGACCACACACAAAAAATAATAAATAAATAAATAAAAGGAAAATTATCAAAGAACTATTTTTTCAATGACAGACAAATAAACAAGTAATTAACAGATAATATGCAATTCTTTTTGTTACCTTGCAACTCCTCTATATTTTGACACTCCTCGAGAAAAAGCACTGCTTTTCCTGCAGGATCAACACAAAAATTTACCTTAATTCAAAATATATAGTTTATTACTTTTCTTTCCTATAGCTTTTAATTAGTAATGAAGTTTACCTTCTCAGTGATCCAATAAATTCATCTCTAGATATACCCTCCATTTCTATCAGTTGTTTTTGGTAAGTTGGTAACTATATTTATTAATGCTTATCACCTAATTTGTTAATCTTAATAGAATAGGTGAAGAAATTATAGGCCAAAAAATAAAATAAAAAAAACTCTCTAAATGCAATGAATATTAATCACCGGAAAGTTGAGAATGGTTTATGGACCCCAATATTTCAATGTAGCCAAATCATAAATAAGCATAAGCAGCAGCAGCTTCTTCATCATCATAGGCACCTGATTACCAACACCAAAAATAAAATAAGAGCCATTGAGTGACCATATTCCTAGAAGTAATTACGAAATAAAGGAACTATATTAATTGGAACATATCAAGGTAGACTGCATCATTTCATTAGTATTCCATAAACCCAGCACCACCAATGTAATGAGCATGAAGAAATCAATAAAATTGCTATAAAGATATGTTTATGAAGAAATAAATATATATACATAATATGAGAAGAGAAGTGATATTGAACCTTGTCTTCCTTTCTTATTTTGTGATTCATTCCAAGCTTGTAATCTGACAAGTATCTCAATTTCATGGTTGTTTAAAGCAAATCAAAAGCCATAGGAAATAAGCACAACAAAATACACCCAGCTTAGCCCCATTGGGTGGGTAAATTGGGTACAAACCTAAAATATTTGCACAAAGTAGCTAACCTCATGAATGAAACTATAACCTCAAATTTAAAAGACTGAGCTTTTAACACTGAACCCTAGCCCCCAAACCAGAGGAAACAACAAAACTCTAAATTCCATACTTACCAATAGAAGAAACCCACAAAACCCAATTTCAATAGAATGGAAACTTATTGAATGTATCTTCAAAATCATCGTTTGATGGAAGTAAGAAACTGTCTCTTTCTCTGGTCTCCATCTCATTGAATGGAGCAAGATCGTCATTTTTCTCCCTGAGGAGTATCTCGCCCTCGAGACTGCGCCCTCTTCTGTGATTATCCCCTTGGATCTCCCTCACAAGGGAACACCTCATTACTGGAGAAGGAGGCATCTCCACCTTCCTATTTCATTGCACAATAACGACAAAAATCAAAAATCAAAAGCACTGGCTCGAAACTCACTCAGCAACATCAAAAATCATCATAATAACTGAAATTCCAGTGCCACTTGAAATGCGAAGCCATGACAACCATATCTACACATCAATCAAACAACTTTCACGAACCCTAGATTTCTCAGATAGTCACCCCGACAACGACAGTTACACCAAAACAAACCCTAATTGAACACTTCCATACAGTAGAGCACTCTCTAGAGACAAAATTACAAGCAAAGAACTGCCATTTCAACAAATTCACAGTTGTTGAGGTAAAAAAAAAAGAAAAAAGAAGCTTCAAAACGGTGGAATCTGACCCATCATTAGAATAAGCTAGACGATGTTAGGGTTTTGAAATTGGGTAAGATAGAGAGAAAGAGATTGAGGTTGAGAGGCAGATTGTTTGAGAGAGAGAGAGAGAGGAGATGAAGATTGTAAGATACCCAATGGGGTTTCAACTTTGGCAAAAGTAGGGGCCCAGGTAGCAGAAGCACGTAGGTGAAGACGATGCAGGTGGCTCACTGGTGGTCACGGTGGCGCAATGGCAATAGTGGAAAGCTGTGGAGTGGAGAAGAGACAGGATTAGAGAGTAAAGGGATGAAGAAAGAGGCAGTATAGAGACACTAGTATATGGAACGAAAGCTAGAGGGTTTTTTTTTTCAGATAAATGTTCCTTTAGAGAGGGAAGTTTTTCTTTTCTTTTTTTTTTTTTCTTTTTTTGTTGGATTGATGTTGGCGGCTGAAGAGTTAGGGCTTTTAATTTATTTATTTTTTAATTTTGTTGATGTCGTTAGGTAATACTTACGTTTTTAATTTTTTGTTTATATTTATAAAAATTTTAAAAATTCAAATAAAATTTATTTGGTAAAATTTTTGATTTATAAATCGGTGGTTTCAGTTTATAAATTTGGCCAAAAAATAAAAACACAAAAAATGTGTTCCGTTTTGAGTTTTGAGTTTTTTTTTTTACCACCCAACACTAGTTCACACCGCGAACATTTTTCTACCACCGTTTATCCGCCACCACCCCCACCCACCTGCACCACACTCACACCATTTTTAACAAACACCGCCAACCACACCGACTTGATCCACTTCTCACACACTCAGCATACGAAAACTAACCTGCACCCACCCGCCACCCCAGCCACCCACCACCAACCACCACCCACCCGCCACCCACCTACCACCACCACACTGTCTACCAAGCTTACCACCGCCCTATCAACCACCCAACCACACCACCACACCACCCACTCCACCCCCATCCGCCACACATACTGTCACACGCCACCCGCCACCACGCCACTCGCTACCAACCTACCACCCAGCATCTGTACATACCACCCACCACACCACCCATCTGCCACTACTAGGCCTAGCACCGCCACCTGACTACCACCCACTCCTACCACCCGCCACCCGTCACCCACGTCGCCACCATCCAACCACCACCGCAATCCGCCACCCACTGGCCGCCACCACCGTGCCAACCAAACAACACAAAATAAAAAAACTAAACACGTACGCCATCCACCACCAGCCCACCGTGCCTGGCCACCACCACCTTACATACTACACCCAATCGCTACCACCCACACCCCGGCAGTCACCATCCACCCACACCAGCAACCCGTCATCACCACCCCACCCGCCCACCACCCATCCGCCACCCACCTGCCACTACCAGCCACCCCCACCCCCCCCTCGCTACCCCCCACCACTGTCACCCCCCCACCCACTACCCACCACCACCACCCATCCGCCACCACCCACCACCACCCGCTATCCACCACCCACTGTCACCACTTTCCATCACCGTCTTCCGCCGCCACTTGCCACCACTTGCCATTTCTCACTCTTTTTTATATTTTTAAAATTTTTTAAACATTTTGTCAATTACCAAACGTGTTTGTAGTTTATGTTTTTTTAAAAATAAACAAAAACCAGTTTATAAAATTTTTGTAAATATAAACTGAAAACGTAAACGTTACCAAACACACACGTAGTGTTTGGCACCCAAATTTTTTATTTTGGCGTTACTTTTTTTTTGGTCGTACCTTTCACGACAGCAATTGCGTGTCGTGGAAAGTGCAATATTTTAAACGACTGACTTTTTGTGCGTCGTGAAAAGTGTAATTTTTAACGATTGGCTTTTTGTGCGTCGTGAAATGTTCAATATTTTTAATAGTTAGTGTACGCATGTCGTGTATAGTTAATGTATTAACGACATGTCATATACACGTCATAGAAAATTTTATTATTTACGACTAACATTGCAAGTCATAAAAAAATTATTGTTATTAGCATTCACGACCTATGCAACAGAAACGTCGTGGTTGGGAAATTATTTACGACATGCAAAAAAACAAGTCATAAAAGTGAGAAACCACGGTTTGCATTTACTGTATGTTGTTGATGTGAAGTCGTAAAAACTCAATTTTGTTCTAGTGGTTGTGTCTTCTTTCTTCTTATCCACACTTTTGTCACGCCTTTTCACCTTGTTCTTGAGCATTTGGCATTCCCGCTTTATGTAACCTTTTTCATGGCAGTAATAGCACTACAATGTCTTTCTTTAAAAAAGAACCATCTCTTGACTTGCCACAACTTTGATCATGACCATGACGAGTCTTACTCCACCCCTTGTTTTGCTTCGGCCTCTCACAATAAATGCTTCTGAATGAGAGGAACCCGCTGATTTTCTTCTAGTTTCTTCATTCAACAAACTACTAGTGACTTGGCTCATTGTGACATCTCCATCGGGCGCAAAATTATTAACCGTCACAACCAAAGTCTCCAAACTTTCGGACAAAAAACTAAGTAGCATCAAAGTCTACAACTCATCATTAAAAACAATTTTCATAGAATTAAGTTGGTTAACAATACTCTTTCTTTCATTCAAATGTTCCGAAATAGGGCTACCCTCTTTATATTTTAAATTAACCAACTTATGAAACAGAAAAACTTTATTTGTGGCTGATTTCCTATTATAAAGGCCTTCTAATTTTTTCCATAAATCATGTGCTGAAGTTTCAATAGCAACATGATGAAACACACTATCATCAATCCATTGACGGATAACACCAACGACTTTGCGATTAAGACTCTTCCTTGCATCATCTTGCATACCCTCAGGTTTACCATTGTCACCCTCAATAAGCCCATACAAATCTTTACAAAATAATAGGTCCTCCATTTTAGTTTTCCAAGTTACCCAATTACTTCAATTGAAACTAGACATACGACCCACATTCCCCTCCATTAATTTACACAAATAAATAAACTCAAATAAACCGTAAGCTCTGATACTAGTTGTTAGGGAAAATATATGATTTCCCACAAGTAAATCAAGCAATGGGAATAAAAACTAATGTAGAAAAATTAAATCAATAACGACCCAAGAATTTTACGTGGTTCCCTCAATGTGAGGTACGTCCACGAGATCGAAATCCGATTCCACTATCAACTAAAGAGTTTTCAAACGATTAAAAACGAGACACAAATGGTCTCACAAACCACCCTTAGGTGAATTCCAAATAATCACAAATAAACAAGAGGAAAGACCTCACCAAATAGACGAATAAATTATCTTCAAAACAGAGTTGTAGAAGACCCAAAACAATATACCCAAATCAACACCAAACACCGAACCAGACGCTTCAAAGCAGAGCAACAACGAAGGCACAAATTCTTGAATTTGACCAAGTCAAATACATAGCAACAATCAACACCAATTGAAACCCATCAAATTGAGTTATACACCAAGCACTCTCACCGAACAGAATTTGTAGCTGTCACTCTCCTCCGAAAAAAAACAAAGATAATATTTATATATATATTGTTAAATTTAGGATTTTTTTTTTTATCAAAACTCTAGCTGTTACCAAACTGATTATAAAATACCCATTGGGCCTCCAAAAGTTAGATATAATATATTAAAAATATATTATAACCAACACCAAACCAAACTAAATAGTTTAATAAACCAATTGGGTCCCATACTTCAATAAGGAGATATACCCAACACTAACCTTAGCCCCACTTTTGACATCTTTAACAATAATCATTTCCAAAACTATGGGATCATCCCTAGAAAAAGAACACTCCAAGTTACCACCATTAGAAGTACCCTATAGACACCCCATTTTTGACCGACCTTAAGACTTTGATGTCTTCGTTTGTGCACTCGGTGATTGCGCATGTTTGTGCTAATTATGAGTTTCCGGAGCTTTTGGCTGAACGCCTTGTCTCAGGACCTCTTAACTCTCTTCTTCTTAGTTTGTTTTTGGACCATGCCCTGGTACCTTTGCCTGGAGGGAGAGAGAGGCTTGTAGGCCACTTTTTGTAGCTGTAGGCTACTTTTCCCTCTTGTAGGCCACTTGCAGTGGCCGATAGGCTAGTTTCCGAGGCTTTCGGCTGAGTGCCTTGTCTTGGGGCCTCTTAGCTCTCTTCTTTTTGGTTTGTTTTTGGACCATACCTTGTTACCCCTTGCCTAGAGGGAGGGGAGGGCCTGTCGGCCACTTTTTGAAATTGTAGGCCACTTTCTCCTCTTGTAGGCCACTTTAAGTGGCCGGTAAGCTACTTGAAGTGGCCAACGGCCATTTTTCTATTTTTACAGATATTTTTGGTGCCAGTTGTTAGGCACAGAATGCATCCTCCATACACGTATGGAGGGATTCAAACAAGCTCTAAGCTTGTCAAGCAAGCTTGTGCTTGCATTGCTCTATATAAGGGGAGCTTCCTCTCCCTTTCCAGGGGTTGAGAAAATTTCAGAGGCAAATATCTCTATCTCTCTATATCTCTCTCTATATATATATATATATATTATGCTCTATACTGTTTGAAAGTGAGTGTTCTTCGCATATTTGCACACAACCCTCTTAGCCTAACATCTTGACCTTAGAGCTGAGATTCCATAAGGCTTGTTTGAGCTCTCAAAGCTTGGTTTTTTCCTCAGAAGTGCCTGTTTTGCTGTGGTTCTTCAAGGGTGAGTAGTTATCCTCTTTAAGCTTTGTTTTGCTTAAGTGTTTAACCATCTTTGCATGCTTCTTTTGGCTTAGCTTTCAACTATAAAAACTTATATTTTTAAGTGTTAAAAATGGTTATTTAAGGCCTCTTTGGTGTTAAGGGTGTTCTACCCTCTTGTGTGCCTTATTTGCTTAAGCTTGGTGCCATCTTTTAAAGCTTTGGAGGCACCCTTTGTTTGGTCTTTCTACCACTGAAACTCAGAGGAATTTCAGTGGTAGAAACCATGTTTTAAGGTCTAAATAAGGAGTAGGTGGCCTCCCCTCCTTGCTTCTTGGTTCTAGGTCTTGATGGCCTCATACTTGAGCATATTTTTCTAGCATGTGTTAGCTTGGTTTCAGCCTATTTTTGGTCTTATTTCAGTATGTTGTAGCTCCGTTTTGGCTTGGTTGAGTCACCTTATGCATGCTTCATACACTTGTAGTGTAATCCTACTCATAAGCCTAGCATGCTTCATGATTTGGCATATTATTCTAGCATGTATTGGCTTCATTCCAGCATATTTTTGGCCATTATTTAACATGCCTTAGCTCTGATTTTGGTTGGTGGGGTCACCTCTTGCTTGGTTTTTGCACTTGTAGTGCAATCATGCTCACTAGTTTTACATACTTGGTGTTTTGGCCTTTCATTCTAGCA